TGATGATGATGATGATGATGATGATGATGATGATGATGATGATGATGATGATGGTCTGTACTCGTATCTCTCTATTTCTCGGATAAATCGTAATCACCAGCCCATCTCCCAATGATGAGAACACATGAGCGAGACTTGCATGATCGTGCGCGTGGAAATATTAACTTGTACAGTCAGCGAATCTGAGATAATTTCACTCATCTTAAGAGTGCTCACCAAATGTCAGACGGTCACCCTCTATCTGGGAGAACAAAGACTGTCGTGCATGCACGGGGCAACCACTGACGTAGGTACATTGATGGCGTCTACAGGGTGAGGGAAATACTTGTGAGGCAGCGTGGTGAAATCAGGCGCTCGTCAAGATTAGGAAAACAAAAAAAATTGTATTTTTCTGGCAGTAGGGCAATTTTTTTTCCCGAATTTTCTTTTTTTGGCTCAACATCTTTTTACGTCCATTAAAACATTGTGAGGATTTTACAGAAAAACATTGATCAAAGGTACAAAAATGTAAATTTCCAGTTTCCAAAGACAATTAAATGTTGGAAGTCACCAAACTTTGGCGGCCATTTTCTCACTAGTGTTGCCTCTGAAATCATCAGGCGACCCCCACCTCCTTCCATTGCAAATATCTCGACTTCTATTCAAATTACATAGGTGTTTTTTGGTGGTGTTTTTTGGTAAATGCGTGACAAGTGAATAAGCTTTCAGAAGAAATCAAAAACTCCACAAGCCCGTAAATTGATGCGCGCCTGATTCCACCACATCTTGACAAATGTGGTCATTGTTCATTTATTTCCGACTCGTGTCACTGTGCGATTTGTCTGTGAGTGCAAGCTTACTGTAATAATGTGTTGTGTGTTTTGTATATTATACAGATGTATATGGGAGAAGGAATGTGGGTAAGGATGTGCACATGTGTGCGTCCTCCATTCATTCCTTTGCTCGGATGCTCTCAGAAAAGCTACGTGTCCCTGATCTTTCCTTGTTACCAATTTGTTTAGGTTCCCTAAGTAGGTTGCTCTGGGCCTACCCCTGCCTCGTTTGCCTTCAATATTGCCAGTGAAAGCTAGATGTTCAAG